CCCAGAGGTGAAGCACCTTAAGGGGAGTTCGAATCATCCTCGTACATATGATCCATTTTTTTTAGTTTAGGAGCTACGATTTTTTTATGATGTTTCGAGTTCCGAGTATAATCTGATCATACCTTCATAAAAAATTGAGCTAATTTTCTGCTTTCTTCGTTATTATTTATTTAAAACTTGAGGCTGAAGTAAGATAAGCTCTATTCAATCAAGTAATTAATTCTTCATCTTGGAATCACTTTATGTTATTTATTTTTTGAAAAATGTAAATAACATGTTTATTGGTATCTTGAAAACTTCCTTTCTTTATCAGCTATTAATCATAAAAAATTCATCGGAGTTACTACGCTACCTTAATGTCGGTTTAATGCTAGGTTAAAAAGCAAAGTATCTAGTGATAACAAGAATATAGTATTTAAATTCATTTATTTTTAATCCTCTTACAGATAGTTTCCAAAATGACGCCCACCATGTTCAATACACAACCGACATCGGCGAAAAAAATTTCTTTTAATTGCCATCCGATTATTTTCCACATTGCTTCAGAATTCATTAATTTTGCATTTAATTCTGCTAAATACCTAGCTTCCTCATCGTATACCATCTCTTTGTAGCAGCCTCACACAAAAAAGTCAAGCCGGGGCCATGCAATCGGTCCGTCGCCAACCAATTGGCGGTTGGAATAATGTCTGACTACTAATGTCATCATTTTGTAATGTTATATTCCCCATTGTCTCCAAATCGATGTCTTCAGGCAGGTCGTCGGGGCTATCTGTTAAAAAAATCTTGATAGGCTTCATCATTCAAGCGACAAATTGCTTTTTTTGAGTTTTTTTGATTTTTGAGTTATTCTTAGAAATTGGATTATCACAGCATATGCAGATTTTCAGTGGACGACCTATAGTAATTATGCATATTTAATATTCCCGTACGCTTAAAATGGGATGTCGGTGCACAAAATTATGGACGATTGTTTGCATAGTCTAGGCTTGATCTCAGGTAGACCAATGAACGTGAGCTGTGCAATTATCCTCTATCTAGAATACAAGGTCTATTTAGATAGGAGTTTCTCTGCTTTTGTTCGTTGTTGAAAAGCATGAAACAGTTGTCGATGGTTGACCGTCTGTGCTCGGACGGACGAAAGCTATATCAAAAGCTTTTTCATCTACTTTTCAGCGCCGCAACATTTTCTAGCAGAATCTAACGTGCTTTGGGTAATCTTCGGGTCTTAACTGATTAACTCTTTGGATATGAAATGGATGATACTTTCAGGGTTGACATTTTGTGTTGCCCCGATCGCGTGTCTCATCTATAAATATTTATCTAAGTTATAAAGGCAAATGTACGGAGAAATATTGGATTTGTGAAATATGTACTGACAGGTGCATAAAATAACTGGTGTTATAGGCATATAATATACTGCCGCCAACAAAATGAGATATACCTTTCCCGACCTCCTACAATCCCTAAGCAACGATTTTCAGCCCCTACAAATTTGTTACTGAAAATGATTACGAGCCTCTGAAACGTCAAAAATCGAAATGTGAGCGAAGCTATTTTTTCGTGTTCTTGTCTCTAGCTCCACCGCCACTGGACCGATATTTGTAAGTCACAAGGGTATACTTAGCATAATTTGTCGATATCCCCACATACAAGTCTTTCACTTAGCTAGTGATTATCGACAATAACTATGAATCGTATATATATATATATATATATATATATATATATATATATATATACGATCTTTTGATATTTTTTTAATTTGTGAGACTTGGTTACATGCTGGAATTGAAGATGATGCGGTGCACATTCATAATTTTAGTTTATACAGAATTGATCGACATACTAGGGGTGGTGGATTACTCATATATGTAAAGCATACCATTAATAGTGAATTGATGCAAATTGAAGAAAAGTTGTTTAGTGAGCAATTGTGGATTACTGTTAAATTGAATAATAAACGTTTTGCGATTGGCGTTGTTTATAAGCCTCCATATGTCGAAATAAATAACTTTTTGAACGAATTTGAGACAGCTTTGAGTTTGATATATCCTACTGTGGATGATGTTATAATAGCGGGAGATTTTAATATAAATTTGTTGGACTTGAATAGTGCTGTTAATAACTTTTATTCTGTTTTAGAGGTATTCGAGCTAACACAAATTATTGAAGGACCAACGCGAATATCGGGTGTTTCAGCAACGCTCTTGGATCTTATCTTATTACGGGAGGAACTTGTTTTAGATAAAGGAATAATTGATGTTGGCCAGGTATTAAAACAAAACAAGATGCTAAAAAATAACTTTAGTAACTCATTGCCCCCTAACCTAATGGATGTGAACCTTCTGAATGATTTTTTTATAAATTCCATCTCCCCAAGTGAACCTCCAGATTCGTTAATAAATTTTTACAAAAATAACTGTCTGACAAACTCCAAATTCAAATTTGAAGAAATTGATGAAATATTCATATATCAAGCTATCTCTGGTATTAAAACAAATGCTGCAGGCTGTGATGGCTTGAGTATCTTTCTAATAAAACTTTGCTGTCCACATGTTATTCCTTATATCAGGCATATAATAAATTGTTGTTTGATTCAAACTGTTTTTCCAGAAGCATGGGGGAGTGCAGTTGTAAAAGTAATTCCCAAAAAGCTAAATCCTTCAGATTTTAATCACCTCAGAGGAATAAGCATTTTACCAGCATTGTCAAAATTATTAGAAAAAGCGGTTGAGTTGCAATTGATGGAACATCTATCAAAGTTTTCTTTGCTTTCTCCAATTCAATCTGGTTTTAGAAAGAATTTTAGCTGTACAACTGCACTTCTACATGTAACAGATGACATTATCAGAGCCACTGATCAGGGAAGGTGTACAGTTTTGATAATGTTGGATTTTAGTCGAGCTTTCGATACGATCAATTTTAATTTACTCCTAAATATATTGCATTTTATAGGCCTCGATTCGGATAGTGTCAACTTTTTCAGTAAGTATCTAAAGAGCAGAAAGCAAAAGGTTTTCTTGGAGGGAAGTTATTCTGATGTATTAGCCTTAAAATCAGGCGTGCCGCAAGGCTCTATTATGGGTCCACTCCTTTTTGCAATTTATACTTCATACCTGGGCAAAGGCTTAAATACTTGCAAAATGCACTGCTATGCTGATGACACTCAGCTGTATCATACTTTTCTACCCAGTGATGTGGACACTGTGAGTGCAACCATCAACAGAGATTTATCATTATTGACAAAGAATGCCGAAGAACATTGTTTGCATCTTAACTCTAGCAAATCTAAAGTAATTGTATTTGGGCCAAAGCATGCGCGTCAGGCTGTTACTAACTCAATTAACTTTAACATCAATGCACAACAACTTGAAACTGTCAGTGAAGCAAAGAACTTGGGTGTAACATTGGATGTAAATTTAAGATTTGAAAAACATGTAAATTCGCTCATTCGTAAGGCATATTCCTCTTTAAAAATATTGTACGGCAACAGACGTAACCTTCCCGTTAAAGTCAAAATAAATCTATGTGAGTCGTTGGTGCTCTCGCACTTCAATTTTTCTGATATGTTGTATGGCCCATGCTTAACTGCCACTTACAAACAAAAAATTCAGGTTGCGCAGAATTCTTGCCTCAGATTAATATATGGCATCAGAAGACGAGACCGAATATCCCATAAGTTGAAAGATGCGAATTGGTTGAACATGGAAACAAGAAGATTTTTGCATGCCGCAACATTATATCATAAAATAATTATGTATAAGAGCCCCACTTACTTATTTGAAAAAGTTACATTTCGAACAGATGTGCATAACATCAATATAAGATCCAGGGGGTTGCTGACACCGCCGATATTCCGAACAGCCCAATTTGAACGATCGTTCAGCTACCAAATTTGTTCCGTTTATAACACCCTTCCGGTACAATATAAAACTCTGAGCATCTCAAGTTTCAAAACTCAATTAAAAAAATATCTCTTATCCCAGCAGTAGTAACCATGTCTCAGGAAAATATTGATACAAGTTTATGATTAATTTTAGTAGATGTATTAATGTAGGCAATGCATATACATTTAATATTTGTAATGTGTAGAATAAGTAGGTCTCACTCACCTTTTGTACGGACTTTTTTTATAGCGGGTTAAGTGGAAGAGCAGCTACAGCTGAACTTCGCCCGTATTTGGCTATTTTTTTATATAATCAGTCCATTTGGAAATAAAGACGTTTATTATTATTATTATTATTATTATTATTATTATATATATACATATTCATATAATTGAATTGTTTTACTTCCAGAAGGTCAACTCATTTTAACAGTTCATTAATTTTAAATAACTTGGTGTAATAAATCTAAGTAAACGGTTTGATAAATACTATTAAACGAATGCGTTCTGGTTTAATTAAACTAGTTTCATAGATTCAAGTAAACTGTTTCAGAAATCGGAATTTAATTGAATTAATTAAACTTGTTAGCTGTCACATAGTTAACTAAATTGTTTAATTGACCCGATTAAAACTTTAGTTGGTTTAATTGATCTTTCTCTCAGTGTGTTAAAAATATAATATTTCTGTATTTTTTTAACGTATCTTTCTTATTCGGCAATCACTAGATGCTAGATACGCCATATTGAATTTCTGTTTTTTTGGTAGCAGAATTGAAGTTGGTGACCTCCAAAACCCTTCTGTACCAAGTTTCGTGAGGATGCCACAGGAGTTGTTTTTTGCTAGCTTTATCGGGTTTTAGGCCCCTATGTGGCGCTCCACTAAAGATGCAACAGCGTAGCTTGTTGAGCGAGCTGCAGCAACAACACCACCCAGCATCCTGCATCCGTCCCTGGCCGGCGCGGCGGCACGCGACGCTGAGCGTCGGGGTGTGCACCGACGGCGTCGAAATCACGCTCCTCTCCGGCGGATGCGCGTCGGCGTCGACTCCGGAGCGGCACCGTGCTCCGCTCAGCTCCCGGACCATCTCCGGTGTTCAGTCCACGCCTATGGCATCCGCCGACTGGAGCACGCACCGTCAACGCCACTATGGCCGCCGTCACCGCGATACTCATCATCACACCTTCACGACGGTTCACTACCACTGATGACCGTCCGGCACGTGCTGGTCGACGTCCTCGACCTAAAGACGTCGGCATTAAGGACATACTGTGGTGTTAGTGGCTGCAAAGTAGAGACATGTACCACTAGGCAAACACCAGCATCCCTACCCGCCTGCGAGAGCAATCGTACATGAGGTAGGTCACACTGAATCTTACCAACTTTATGTTATGCCTAGCTTTAAATGTCTGCATTTTTAATTCTATGAATCAAATCTTCTACGGTGTTTGCTACTATGACCCCTAAACCTCAAATATGCTCTTAGCATCATAGCTTACACCCAGGGGTTGACACTCAATCTTCTTTTAGGCGCTGCTACAATACGGTTGGGTCAAAACCATGTTATGTTTCTGTTATGGTTTTATAACTAATAGCTGTATCAATGTATTGAGACATATCAAACAGTTGGGGTTGTATATAAATCAAACCCATTTGCAAGACTATTGACCCAACAGAAAACTAATAATAACCTGCCTCTATTACATTTTTTTACAAAAGAATTTTTATTTTGAGTAAGGTGAGGTATTGAAATTTGAAATTAAAGAGTCGAAATGGCCGAGTGTAAGATATTTTACAACAGAGAAAAAATTAAATTGACAATCATGAACAAGTATAGACTCGTACAATAATAAATACATGGAGTTTGTGACAATTACCTAATAGTAAACACTATACTTGTAAACATGTTTAAATTTCATTTAACATAAAGTCTTATTTTAGCTGAATTTCTGATCTCATGAGTAGGTGGATAGAAGAAGCATTGCTTTTAATTTTTTCTTGTAATTCATTAGACTGTAATTGTGATACTTAGTTGAGTATCGCAATTACAGTAGATTGTTGTAATCTTTGGTCTCAGTGTATGAAAAGCTTTTCTTGTATAATGATGTAAAGTCGGTATAACGAGAGATTGACTATTTCTTGTTGCTAAGTAGTTTACCAAGAAGGTACTCGGTGACGAAACATCATTTGGAAACATGTAAAACTTGATGGAATATAATTTTTGTTAAGCTCTACGACGGGGTTGGGATTTTTGAAATTACATTTTTGAACAATGATAGTATTACAACTTGAATGATTTGTAACATATCACCTCCATTGTTGATTACTGTTGCCAGTAACCATCATAAACTTTAAAAGGACGTTGATATACAGGACATCATGTGATTTTACTGGAAACATAGCATTAGATATCTAGCAGACGCTGCTACAACTCTGTTGAAGCTTGTCTCCAAATTGCGGTCTTGGGGTCTATACTAATTTTGTTTTCCTCCTTAAAAATATACAAATAACCCAAACCCCTGGTCACTATCACTGAGGACCATTCGGTACGTGCTAGTCGACATCCTCAGTTCAGAAACGTTGTCATTGAGGGCATAAGCTGGTGTTAGTGGCTGCAAAGTAGAAACATGCCTGCAATAGCAATGGTACATGACGCCGGTCACACTGTATCTTACGAATTTTATGGTATATTCGGCTTTAAATGTCTATATTTGTCATTGTATGATTCAAATCATCGTCTACGCAATTTGCTACTATGTATACAGTACCCAGTGGTTGATACCTTCCTATAGGCACACTGGTATTGTACGATTTGGTCAAAACCATGTTGTGTTTTTGATATGGTTTTATAAATGACGTCAATGTATTGAGACATATCGAAAAATATATCAAAAGAAGTTAAACAATCAGGATTGGGGTTGTATATCAATCAAGCCTATTTACAGGACTATTGACCCAAAAGGAAGCAAATAGTAATGAAAAATTCAAAAAATGTAAAACTTGATGAAATATTATTTTTGCTACAATGGGGTTGGTATCTTTTGTAGCTACATTCTTGAATAATTATAGAGTTACAACATTCCTGGCAACTGGTCTTTGTGCTACATACTTTAGTCGAATGATTTGTAACGTATCACCTCCAGTGCTGAGTACTGTCACCACTAACCATCATATACGAGTACTTCGAAAGGACGTCGACATAACGGATAATCTGTGATGTTAATGGCAACATAACATTACATTCCGATCAAAGGTAGTCACTGCTACAACTAATTTGAAGCTGGTCTTCAAATCGGTGTCTTAGAGGTCCTTTCTAATTTTGTTTTCCTTCTTAAAAATGTTCATGTAACCGCAACTCCTGGGTACTCACGCATTTGATCATTCGGTATGTGCTAGTCGACTTCCCCGGCTAAGGTACGTTGACAATCATCATCATCATTTTCTCTATAGGTATTCCGCTAATGATGTAAAGGCGACTATTGTTATTCTAACATATTTGGAATTTGAGACATCGTCGGTTAAGTTGTAACACCACTAAATGCAAAGAATAACTTATGTATTTGCTTAAAAACGCCACCGTGATTGCCGGAATGTCATCACTATTAGCTTATGAGGTTTCATTTGCGACTAGGCAAACTTGGACGATTATAAGATCATTCGATAGCGACTCCAAAGGCCCACCGTTCTTTTATGCTTTCCTAGAAAGTTGTTAGTTTTAAATTACATCGTGCTGGAACTATTTTTATCGAACAACTAGATTTTTGTCATTCATGACTGGGTAGTACCAAAAAGAAGAAAATACGATACAAATTTGTTATTTAGTTTTGCATTCTACATCAATGATTATTGCCAAACATTTCCAAAGTAGATCGTTCAAGTATATTGCGAGAAAATAGATGTGATGCTCCATTTCTTTATTTAATTTTATACTCTTCAGTCTACATTATTCATGATCGCTGAAAAATAAATACGAACATTCAAAAAACAAAGTGATTGTTTTCATCTATACTGAAAAAGCTTTTAGGATGTAAGTACACAGTTTGGAAAATCTGCTTTCTTTTCTGGTTACTAAGTTTAGCGCTCTTACACTCATTTTCAAACTTGTGACCGAACAATAATCCATTCCAACCTCTGTTAGAATCAGTATAGTAGTTACTGATATTGCACAATGCCAAGGAAACCAGAACGACAGGTGGGTTATCGCCAATGGGTGGAACGCTAAAGCACTCTATTTTTCATACCTATTTTCCAGAAAATGCTATTTATCATATATCGTCTAGACAGAAAAAATAATAATATGTATTACCCTGTATAAACTCAATTACTCTATGACATGCCAAACTACGCATTACTGTTGAAATCAATAAAATTAAAAGTAGGGAACCCATTCAGGTGAACCATCCGCCTGTAACCTTTCTTCCCTTTATTTGGATATCTTGGTCGACTCCAGGCAGTAAATCATAAACAAAAAAAAACCTATTGTATATCGATATGTGTGTGGGTGTATATATCCAGTTGAAGGGTGGATGTAAAGCTGGACATACACGCTAATAATATGCATGATTCCGCCAGAATATGATCTGTATGAATATTTTGGTGAACAAATCATAATCAACAGTCTCTACCCACACTCCGCCGATACACGACGCGAATCCGTACCTAAAATCTCCCAGCGTTTGAGAAGCTTCATTACAGCCAGTGCCTTTGATTTCTTACCTTTCGTCTTTCACTCATACGCAATTGGTCTATAAAATGCTCAAGTTGATGATTCCTTTATTACCAACGGCAGATTTGAGTGGAAGGATTTGCGGCGATTTTTAAGATAATGATCAATTTTCCTATTTATAAATCTTCAGAACACAACACTTGAAAATATGAAATATGCACATTCCTTAAAGTGTTCTGAAGGGTACTCCATGTAAAATTTCTCTAAGGATTCTAGTTGCTACGCTCAAAACTCTTATTTTTATTGTAACCTGTTTATCGCATGTCCTTTCAGAAAACATTACCGTGTATGTTTAGCTTTTGCTCAGATGGCGGTAAAGGAGATGAAAGAAATAAACCGGCAATAAATTATACAGGAAAAAAGAGGGACGCTCTACATAAAGACAGGTCGCAGAACGAAGTGTTTCTGCTCAACTGATTACCCATTACCGACGGTCTGTTTAATAACTGGTCCCCAAACAGAGATTGATAGATGAATTTATTTTTCTATGGTAGGTCAAATATTTGGCATTCAAGCCAAAAACGTAGGTTGCGCAAACAATAAATTATAATCTATCAGCTCATTGTTATAATAAGGTAGTGAGTGGTTCAATAAAAATTCAAATGGTTATGGAGTATATATAATATATTATAAAATAATGAAATAAAATAGTCAAATCCATGCAATTAAAATAAAAATAATATCCTTTAAAATACAAACAAGTATTAAATCAATCTAGAATTCTCAAAAAAAAAAAAACAGTTTCTGTATAAATCCATAAACAAAAGTAACAAATAAACAAAAGCATTCTTACAAAAATCTAATACGGGCCACGTAGCATTCTGAAAAAAATACATATTGTTAATAGATTTCCAGTATACATACAATATAAAAAAATCTCCGTCCCATCCCCCAAATTGAAAATATCATTTCAAGGCGAAGCCTGCCTAAGTCAGTTTTTAAAGAAGCTGTGAAAACAGTTTAGCTACAGTTTGCTTCCAGTGACAAAAAGCACAATACGAAAATGAACAAAAAATCAGCCCGAGTTTTTTTCCTAGTATGCGATTAGAGGTAATAATAGTCAGCCTTCTAAATCCGTCAATGTGTTTTAGGGGTAGTAGAATCGAGAAGGGGGTATCATATGATTGACAAAATCATTTTTTGTATTTTCCACCATGTTTATGCGATACTACTCGTAACGGTTCGAGTAATCATTGTACGGAGCCAATTTTAATGCATGATATATAAATACAATACGCTATATAAAATATCTTACCAATATGCGATAGGATAACCTTCTGCGTCTATACAGGATTGCATCCTAGTGCGCATGCTGTCCACCAAGTTTTTGCAGACATCCGTTCCCCGGAAGGATTCCCATATCCGCCTACAATGGGTGTCTAGATTATCCCGCCTATTGGGGAGCGGTCCGCCAGTGCTCCATTTTGGACCATTATATCCCACAGGTTTTCTATTGGGTTAAGGTCTGGAGATTTTGCTGGCCAGGCAATGACATTGTAATCCTCTTGTGCAAGATAATTTCGCAACCATGTGTGACGTATGAACGGCGGAATTATCTTGCACAAAACTGATTCTACCTTGTTTATAGAGAATCCGGTATGATGGGATAAAACTATTATTCAAAATGTCCACATATTGTTGCGAATTCATTCTGTCTGCAAATAACAAGATCATCTTATGAGGGACCGAGGTATACACAGGGTCACGACGTATTTCTTCCAGGACAAGAAAAGGGAGCTAAAATGCAATATATTTCGAACACCAAGTGCGTGTGTTTGTGTGTTTGAGGGAAACTGAGAACGAAACCTCAAGAATTTTTCATATATGTTTTTACCGTTTCGGGTGATGCTAAAGAAACCACAAAAGAAGATCTCCAAAACTGGGGATTTTCGCGCAATGCATATATAGAGTCTATTTATTGTATTTTACTGTAATACCTAAAACTCATTTTGTGGTTTGGGTCTGGGCAAACGAAACTACATATGTTTGAATTACTTTTTCACTGACGTTTCGGACACCAAGGTGGCTTTTTTGGATATTTCTTAAAATAAATTAGAACAAGTAATTTAAAACATAATATATGTGGTTTCGTCTGGTCAGGTAATCATGGAATCTTATTGCATTTTCTGTCCCTTACCAAGTCCTAGGAGGGATTACTCTTAATACTTATTGAAATTTAAAATACTATTTTGTTTCTCAAATGTCTGGTAATATTTTATGACTAAAAACAGGATAGTTTCTTTGATTAATGCATTAATTTGTAAATTGAATGAAGAAGGACTACTTATTCATTTATTATTTACTTCGTCGCCGCCGCTGGCTGGGTGCAATCCCAATGATATTAGAAAGAAGCGCGGAACTCTTTGAGCTAGGCCCACAGACCCCTCGCCTCTGTTCCTATTCTGGTGTGGGCACAGCGGCGTATTCATGGGAGGGCTTTCGGGCTCCTCGGAGTCTACCCCCCCGAAGCGCAACAGCTCATTACGCTTCTTCTACATATTACAGCATGTTATTCCTTCTGTGAAGTGTAGCTACCTGGACTAAGCGAGTCTCCCCCTCTGCTATGCAGTTTTATATCTCCAAGACACCCCTCCCCGCCCCGAGACGGAATTTTCGTGTCACCCTGGATCTTGAGCCTCCCCCCAGATCTTTTCCTGGATAACACCACTGGTTGAGCAATATCTCAATCTACAGGAAACAATTACTATCGCGAAATCAAACACAACAGTGGCTCCTACAAATCATTTTTATGGGCACATTTCAAATTTCCGTAATCGGACTAAACTAGGAAGTCACAGATGAATGAAATTAACAAATCATAACTAATCATAATTGTTTGTATTAGCATTGGGAGGATTTCTGGAAAAGCAAAAATTCTATATATTTGATTTCTGTCTAAAGTGGATGAACCTACCAGTATGTCTACAAAGTAAGAAGCATGTAGACCAGAATGCAGTTTTGTATAGACACAGAAAGTGGTTAAAGTAAATACTGGTGAAATACTTTTCAGAGCTAATGAAATTAGTTGCAAGAAGGATAAATAGCCAGCGCTAATTTCGTAAACTAAACGTTTTTCATATTTATATTTTAGATGAGAATGTTCAGTTTCCAAACGTAACTATGTTCGGTTGCCTAGCACTTACGGCTTGTCTATTCAATACCAAACATCCAACCTATCATATCAGAATTAATCAACAACATGCTTAATATTGAAATTTGAAAGAAATATTTTGCTTTTCAAAAGCCTGTATATTACAAATAAAGACGTAATCTGCTTTGAAAATCACACCATATTAGGAATTTAATTAAGCCTACACCTGATCAACAGCAATAGCCCACCGCCACTGGAGACAACCAAGCCACGCGCCTCTATAGAATGCGGTACCTTTTATCTATAAATTATTGCTCGGACATTATCTGCCAGTATCAATCATGCTTTTTAGACCGTCTTCCGTGCTAATACAATGTTGCAATTCGGTATTTTTGGAGGCCAGAAGATGCAAGAGGTATGTGCAAGTTGGATGGCTCATCTTTGTACCTATTGAAGTCTACTTTAAGCTTTAAATCAATAAACCTTCAAAACTACTGAACTGAAGCTCACGTATTTTACATCATTATAAAGGGAATTGAAAGACCTTTAAAATAAGGTATCACTCGACCCCCCCTTTCCATTTAAGATTTTAGGGTTGGTGTCACCCCCGCCTAGCGGGCTCACGTGTTGCCAGTAAATGCGTGTTTCGTTTTCGATGCTCCACTCCTTATATATATATATATATATATTTTGAGACGTGGTCATTGTCGTCTAGACCAGTTAGGTGAAAAATTAAAGCTTCCGCCTTTTGTTGGGTACTTCGACAAAATTTAAGCAAAGAGGACTCTTTATCCTTTTTTTAATTCTCTCTAGCTTTCAATGGACTTTGCCATCATCATCAGGAGCTGCAATTACAATGATAACAGTAGCAACAAAGGTGTAAAATGAATTTAAATTGACTCAACTTACAGTAGTATGTGAGGATGTTGCTAATTGTTGTTTACGTGTAGGATGAGGGAAACGTCCAGTGACATGGTGAGAGCTGGATAGATTGTACAGTAGTCAAACTTATATAAAATATGACAAGAACAAGTTAAAAACAGATTAAAAGTTATTTAAAAAATTAGAGCATTACATCGTGAAGCCACTTGATGATTGCACAAATTAGTGGTCATGGAATGATGAGTGACATGAAACCCTTTGACAGAAGTCCGAAGGATGTCAATGTCAGTATTGAAAGATGGAACGAATTGTGGGCGTGTGCCAAAACGTTGCCAAATCACTTCTCATCATCAAGTGGCTTCACGATGTAATGCTCTAATTTTTTAAATAACTTTTAATCTGTTTTTAACTTGTTCTTGTCATATTTTATATAAGTTTGACTACTGTACAATCTATCCAGCTCTCACCATGTCACTGGACGTTTCCCTCATCCTACACGTAAACAACAATTAGCAACATCCTCACATACTACTGTAAGTTGAGTCAATTTAAATTCATTTTACACCTTTGTTGCTACTGTTATCATTGTAATTGCAGCTCCTGATGATGATGGCAAAGTCCATTGAAAGCTAGAGAGAATTAAAAAAAGTATAAAGAGTCCTCTTTGCTTAAATTTTGTCGAAGTACCCAACAAAAGGCGGAATATATATATATATATATATATATACAACCTGGGGTTGTCACACAATCTTTAAATAGGTGGCCCCTACCTTACGCTTAGCTTAAATCTATGTTGTGTTTCTGTTATGTATACACCAATAATAGTGTGTGTGTGTGTGTGTGTGTTCTTATCAAAGTATTGGTAACAGATGAAATAAAAATATGTTAAAATGAGAAGAGCGGTCCTAACAGCATCGATACTGAAAACTAAACAGACCGATTTACAAGACTCATCACAAATTAAATAATAATGGAAACATGAGCGCATTTAGCGTCATATTGAAACATACACGGTGAGGTTCAAATTTGGCTGATGACGTAATGTGTACGAGAGAGAAGCGCGAGAAGCGTGCAATATCTATGTTAGAAAGAGTGGGATGTATGTAAACTATTTATTAGTACAATTTACATTTAGAGCGGCGAGCACCAACTAAGATAATTCAAATCTAAGTTAGTATGTTGTTGGAAACATATGAAACTCGCGTATTTAAGAGTTCATGCAATAATATTCTTAATATTGAAGCTACAAGGCTCTACTACATTTATTACAATTTCACTACGAATTTAATATATTTCCAGCAACAAATTAACTTAGTTTTGGATCGTATCGGCTAGTGCTCGCCACCTCACAACATACAACCAGTACCAGCCGCTACTGAGTAGACCATTACAAATCTTACTCGAATAATTCATCAGCTATTTGTTCAAAATGCTTCTGAAAGTCATTGCCATTATGATCCTAAACAAGGACAAAAACTAGTACAGCTTTCTTGGACCCTCTCTTAATACTAGTCTAGTCTAGTATTCTTTTACTTCCTACGCCAGTGGAAGTACTGTAATCGCGAAAGGGGGATCAAAGTGGAGGAGGAATTAGGGAGGCACATCGGATTTGGTTTTTACTCAAACCTAGGACTTAATAGCTGGTATTAGTAGTGTTGTTGGTGGTTGGGAGGCCCTTTGACCTTTTTTGGGGATTATGGGAGGATACAGATAATAAAGGAACAACACGTCATTTCTTACTAACTTATTGAGCAATACCTGCACATATTCTACTCCCGATATCAAATCCGTGGTACTTGCTCGCTCTACTACCAACAGAAGCGGGTTCGAACCCGCATGCTCAAGCGCGCCATCTGGTTATTTCACACGTCGTTCAAGACCTTCAATCTAATTAGTTAAAGGTCAGAGGAGATACAAAACGTTCCTCACGATACTATATGCCAGATATTCTACGAAACAAGATCCGTCATTCCGATCAGTACTGATGATATAGTACAATTAATTCGGAATGAGAGACAACAAAGGATTTGACCTACCTCTGACGGAATTTGGGATGCTGGAGCAACGTAATTGAGTTCTTCATTTGCAGACATATAACAGATTATTACAGTACAACTCTTCAAGGTGCTGTCATTATTGGAAATGCCAGACAGAATCCAGAAAATCAATTAGTATTCCAATTCGGATTTGTCAATAAAGTGTTGATTATCAACAATCGACTGGGACCAGGGGAACTGCAGGAGGGGGTTCGAAATTACTTCCGAAACTTGCAACATTGCTAGCTTCGTGTCTCTATCCTCAAGTTGGTATCAGTTTCGACCCAGCCAACGTTATAACTAGTTCTGATGGTGCATGAAAAGATGTCGTATTTGAATGCAACCCATTCACAAGACAGGATTGAATTGCAACAAGTAACGGGGCTTCTGATTTTTAATCCATGTAACATAAGTATAAAATGTATTTTCTTATATCTAATACCTGTTTCTGTTACCATTCTAGTACACGATTCATATAGAATCTAGAAGATAATGTGACAAGTTCCATTATAACTTTTTAAGGATTAATATCATGCCCCTCAAAGAATGGCGCTAGGAACCGCACTTCATTCATTAACATTTTCTAAAGTCTACGAAATATATCATACTAGTCTTGTGCTCGTGGTTTTATCCGCAAAACGTGTAGGAGGCGCTGCTAATAACGTAACCAAATTTCTCAAGCATTCAAGTTGGCTGCCAATTTACTAATGCCTTCAAAGATACAAAGCGATTGTATTATAAACAAGAGCACTTTTTGATTCCAACATGATGCTTTTGTACAGAGAAAACAGGACAACTTTCATGTATTTTGCTTTTTCATATAAATTTACAAATAATAGGTCGGTTATCTCTTCAGCCAATGGGAATGCGACAAATAATAGGTCGATTTTATAGCTATTAAATTTGAACATGTTTGAATGTCTGTTAATGCAAGGCAATCTCGAATTTGTTCAGTTCTACATACTGAGTGTTTACATGTTATCATTATAGCTACATACCTGTTGAAATGTGCTGAATTTGCAAGAAAATAGAATATAAAATACATAACCAATTCCTCATCTTCCTTTACATCATAATAGTAACCATTTATTATCAATTCGTGGGTTAATGAATTTCTTCAAAGCAATCAAAACATTATGTCCTCTCCATCCTAAAACACCGATATGTGTAAAACGTGTCAATCCCTAGATCTCCACGATGTATTATGCAATTACTATAGACATGGACAAAAAATTATGAGTAATTTCTGACAAATGCCTTCTAACTCAAAAAATCATAATCAAAAATAATGTTTCTTGTTTTTGTTGCCTTTTTGACTGGTTGGGATATCCATCGGTCACTCGCAGGGTTGCCAAGTCTAACAACGATCACGTCCCGAGGTGGAGTGTGCGTAGGAACTAAAGAATCTTTTACATTTGCTGGTTTTGAATTTAAAGTAAGAACACAAACATAGTACCTATGATAGTTGGAGCTAGACTGATATCAAATCTTGAAGAATATTTGAAAAGTGTGGAATCCATCATGGTCTGTTGTATCTTCAAATTGCTAATGAAGTATCTGAAAATTCTCACATACAGTGGACCTTCATCATTGTTTACTATCCTGATTATGATCATCCTTGGCAGATGTATTGTATCATCAAATTGATGAGGAAATATAAGAAAGCTCTGAGAGACCTACGCACAGCGGATTTTTCATAAAAATTTATTAGGTATCATGATTATTACCATCTTTGGTAGATTGTTAGAACTGGAATGGGATAGATCTCCTATTTATGGAAATATTTTTGGTATCATCTAACCGTTGTAATTAGTGCATAAAAACTGTAACATATGATTTATAGCATAATCAGCTGCCATATCAACACAAATTTAACATATAGGTTGCCTAGCCGTGGGGACGCAGTGGTCGGGGTGATGAGTCACGGCAGCTACTGATGATTTGGGCATGTTTAGTAACAACGTATGAAGTGAAACTCTTTAAATTCACAAATTTGAAGATTTTGCTCAACTTCTTTAAAAAGGATGAAAGATATGTCTGATTTGGCAAGGTCGCAGCGCAATGGCAGTCGGTCTTTCTGGATGCTGGTCAAGCAGATTGAAAAGAACTTCACACACAGTAGCCTTCCACCACTTACTTGTTAGGATGGAACAACTGTAAACTACTCAGACGCTAAGGCGGAAGTGCTTGCCAAGATCTTTGCTGCCAACTCCACCATGGACGTCCCCACCCAACGCCCAAGTGCGGCCGATTCGAAGAGTTCCCTACACTATGCGGGAAGTAACATTCAGGCATAAGACCGTAAGATGGGTGGTCTTATCGCTTGACATCAACAAACTTTCTGGTCCGGACTTGATTCCTATCATTGTACTGAAGAGGTGTGCAGCGGAGTTTGCTCAACTTCTTTTGCGTTTCTTCCTGATATCTTATGAATTTGGCATATTTGCAGAAAACTGCAAAATGACCTACCCATCCCAAAAAAAAAGGATCCAAGACCGACCCTTACAACTATAGGCCTATATCGCTGCTTTCTGTTATAAGTAAGGTGATGAGAGGTGCATAAATCGCGAGCTTCTGGACTACCTCGAACGTCTCGGCTTGATTAGCGATAGGCAGTATGGTTTCCGGCACCAGCGATTCACAGGGGACCTCCTAGTTTACGTCACGCAATTGTGGAGTAAGCTAATCCAATCTTATGGTGAGGCTTATGTCGTTGCTCTTGATATCACGAAAGCAACCGATCAGCTGAGGCACGCTGCCCTCTTATGCAAACTTCCATTCTATGGCCTCCCAGAAAAGCTTTGCGGATGGGTGGCTGACTTTCTCTCTAAGTGCAAGGTATCCGTCGTAATAGATGGGATCTCCTCCTCATCCCACAAGGTCAACGCGGGTGTTTCCCGACACTGTTCCCCTTGCATATCAATGACCTCCTGTCCTGCACGATCAACCCAATCCACAGCTCCGCTGATGACAGCACTCTACATACAGTGACAAGCCGATCTCTTCAGCTGAGTTGGAAAATAGAAGACTAGCGACGACTTCTTCTTTGACGAGAGAACTGGAGGTTATCACTGCTAGGGGACGCAACAATCTTGTACATTCTAATGCTTCCAAAACACAGTACTGTACCTTGACGAACAAAAAGCGTCCTAGCGCTCATCCGGTTTCGAAAGATGCCCGGGTTATGCCAAAGAGCCGTTCATTTCGGCTGGTCGGAGTCCAGATCACCGAGGACTTGATTTGGTATGAACACATCTCGTCAATAGCGGCAGCTGCTGAGAAACGGCTAGGCTATTTGGTACTTGAAAAGACTTTTACCTGTAAAAAAGTGTTAGCAGGGCGCATTCAAGATAAGTGGACACAGGCTTTAAATTTACTTAAGTTTATTTGAAAAGATTTTAAAACCTACTACGTGACAAGCATGGTTAGCGGGTAACTTGTGACAGCTCATTGTCAATTGTCCTGCTGCTTGACATTTCATTAATACCAACATAGTTTGCCATTGCCAACTTAACAAAAAGGCACACCATGATGGAATTACCAATGTAGCCACAAATGTTGCTGAAAATCGCCAGCGGACAAGTAAAGAAAAAAGTCGCTAAAGCATACACAAATATATAAGTCTGGCAACAGTGTTGTTTTGACCAAAGAACACAACACTGAGTCATGACTAGGATAGTGATGGGACATTTTATTCATACTGATCGGCGGACAAAAATACATTCAGTTACCGCACTGCAACTGGGGAAAGTGATTTTTCTACTTGTCGATTTTCATTGGTTATGATGTTAGTTATCTGTTTACAAAAATTTTATGTGTTGATTTATTCGGCGAATTTACATTGTTTTCGAAATCTTAACGTTTACTAGACATTCAACAGAATTTATACTCCACATACCAGTATATTTCCGTTATCAATGTTCAATTTGTATGTACTTTGAAAAAGGCCAACAAGGTGGCCGAGATGTTAGTGAACTTTTCCTTTGCTACATACGTGGTTCAACGTAATGTCCATTAAATATGGTGCTGTCATTTATTTTCTATTTGTCCGCCGATGCTGGCTCGGGAATTCTAAACGTCTTTACAGGTTATCCCACGATAAGAAGTCAATTTCTCGGTTGCATATATACAGGGTGACAATGGCAATATTCCTAGAGCAAACAGTACATGTAAAAATAAAAAATAAATTCTTAGAACTTTCCTGTCGATATAAAGGAGTTAAATGTTTTCTCTCAAGTAAAAAGATTTTCAGTAACTTACCAATAAAATAACATGACATTCAGAAATCAAACAGTTGAAAAATATACGTATTTTCTTTCAGACAAATAGACGGCTTTAGCTGTCTTTGAGTCGAAAATGTGCAAGGAATACCTATTTTATTGCTTTATGTTACGACTGTACCTTCTATTTCATCCATATTAGGATTCCAGTCATAATATGAAAAATATACACTATCTTACGTTCCACATATACATATGCCAGTGGAATATAAAACGTCGCGTGATTTGCTGGCATTACTAACTAAGAACAAATGACGCTACTCCACCCTGCTGTTTTTTCACTAAGTTCGTCTAATACTGATTAGAAATTAGCCAGATTCACTGGTGGGTCTTTGACCTGTTAAGCTTTTCATTTCCATTATAATCTGGAATTCCATGAAAATATTATACACAATTATAATGAGATGTCATATGGTATACAGGGTTATCCAAATTAAGTGTCCACCATTAGTAACTTTGTAACCCCTGTATATTATATTTTTTTCTGTTAAAGCATCAAATTTTAAACAAAAAAGTTCATAATGACTTTTCCGCTAAAGTCAAAAATAAAGTCAAAATAACGATAAATATTTTTAATTATTTGCAGTATTATAATATTAAGACGGCTATGAAAACAACATGGCGTTCGCGATTTGACAGCATTAAGATAAGCGACAAATTGTTAAACTGGACATACTCGCAACTAGAAGGCTTTGGAAAACAATGATAAAATCAAATAATGTCAAACATTAGTGTAAATACTTGTTTATAAGCTTTATTGTGTCATTAATTTAAAGAAAAATGTTCTCCCATGAAGAAAAGTGTGATATGTTAGAATGCTATTTAGTGTGCAGAAAATCCTCCTTGAGAGCAAGAGAATACTACAGTGAATTATATCCCGCTCGCATTCAACCGTATGAACGATATTTTCTGAGACTTTATCGAAAATTT